ACATGCTAGTGACTGATACCTGGATTTTTTGACTTCTGTGTTAGCATGTTACCTTCAAACTCACAAGTTGACATTCACTAATTCACATTTTCAACTTTAACTGATTTTCGATAATTCATCTCAATAGCTGAAACCTGTCTTACTCTTTATACAACTAAACAATGCTGGCCATAGTTTGTCACTAAAACTTCATAAATTCTTCTTGAAGTCAGATATTTATCATAAATACGTAGATAGTTATCATTAGTTGGTTGTGTAGTTGTCTAGGTAAATTAAATTCATGGTTTAAATTATTATCACCTTGAGCTATTTCAATAAATCCTACATTTTAATATATTAAATTCATATGTTTTATATTCAATAGTACAACGGCACTTATTATAGTTTACTTAAAAATTCTACACGTAATCCAGATAGTTCTGTTGATAAATGGTTCATTAGATTACTTTTACACTAACAAAGCACTATAAACTATGAACTACATGTTTAAGAATAGATGAATGTCAGTTAAAAGCTGAATTCATGATGCATGTTTCATCTTATTTGGAACAAGTCAGATAGATCTGCTTGCATTCTAATGTTGATGTTCACATTAGGCCTGTAATCCAGTAACTTTCGTATGAAACACCTGAAGAGGAATAGACTGAACTACTAAGTTAGAAAAGCCAATATCTTGTTTAACGGGCATGATGTAATCATCATTATTAGTAATGACTTAAATTGTTTTGCCAGTGGTATTCATGAACAAATTGTGATTTGTTATTGTGTTGGTGTATGTGCACTGTGTTTGAATTGACCTAATATAGTCATTATGGTACAGATTACTCAGAATAATTGGATTGTGTCTAGCAGAAGATATGTACATATTAAAAAAAAAACGGGCGTAAATTGAAATTTTTTTAATTAAAACAGACCAAATAAAAATGACGATTGAATTTCAGATAGTCCAAACAAATTGTATTTGTATCCAAAAATGAATTCAATATTTATCCATATTGATCATTATCAAATATATTATGGCGCATTTATTTTCAAACAATACAAAATATTACGGGCGTAGTTAAAAAACATAAACGATCAGACTACTCAGAATAATATTAAAAATAATAATAGTAGTGATTCATTTGCACTGGTTGTTTGAATCTTCCTATTAATGTTTAAAATTGCACGGATAGTCTCAATATTAACTTCAGGTTATAAGCATTATTATCAGAGGTGGATAGTGGCTAACTGTGGATTCCAGGACAAGCGTTTCGTCTTATTTGGAACTCGTAAGCTGGATGTACCTGTAATCAGCACAGGATGCACAAGCAACACGAAATAATCTTTCCATTGATGTTTAGGATTGAAGTTGATCAGTCGCTTTGGCATCCTGTTAAGATTGCAGGTACATCCAATTGATGAGTCCCAAATTGGACGAAGCGCGTGTCCTGTATTCCACTGCTAGCTACTATCCACCTCTGTTAATAATAGTAATGATTTTTAAAGTTTTGATCGATTAATTAGCTAACTTGAATATGGATTCTTGAAAGTTTTAGGAAGAAATAGTAAGTGATAGATAAAATCAAACCAACCTATGAATTAAACAAATCTGTACGATGGTGTTCAATGATCATCATGTAGTATTTCAAATTAAATGAATTTGAAAAAACTTGGACGATTAAAACCCTACCCAGTGTTCGAAACGCATCACATTCATTACGAGTGTTGAAGATGCAAGCTACGAATCTGTCAAAGTCGCGAATTTTAAAAATTAAACACTCATTCAGTGTTCTTTAGTTAATACTAAACCATGGAAATGCTTAAACCATTTTTATAATCAAATCTTACTGAAATGTAATCAGCCCTAAATTTTAGATCATGTTCAACAGATGGAATCGGTTCTTTCATACTACTTTTCAAGATTACATGTAATTTTGTTGATGAATTATGCAAAAAATCTAGACGTTTAATTTATTTAGGTACGAATAAATGCTATTTTAGTTTCATAAAACAATCCCATAAAAAACGATTTCACTTGTACTTGTAAAAAGATATATATACATATAACAGCACAGTTCCATGTTGGAAAGAAGGAATAAAGCAAACATAAAATTTGAATTGTTATCACATAAGAAAATAAAGCAAGAAACTGTTTGAATATACTGATTTCTGCGAATCTTATCATTCAAATTACTGTGCAGTTAGATTTTGTATAAATTAGCATTCATCTAGCACTTTCTACTGAATATTCTCCAACATATTGAATTACAATAACTCTTTGGTAGAGTGAAAAGTATCATATCATTCCGTGATTATGTAAGAAACCAATTTTCTAAATTCCAGTGATTTAACATCAATCATCTGTCGCATAATTTGATTGACTTTAATTTAATAACAGCTCTCCATCAAAATATCGAAAAAACATCGTTTTTATAATTGATTACTTGAAATTAGAATTATCACACTTATGAGGTACCGTGGTGAGGTCGCAGGACTTTGTTTTCACTAAGAATTAACTATGATTGATAAACAACTGTAAAATATTGGAAAAAAAGTAACTACTTCACAATCTCTATAGATTAATTCATGAAGTAGATTAAACAGTCTTCTAGTGTCTCCTCATTTACATTGGTAACGCAGCTGAAACCAAATCTGTCAAAAATACAAATTACGGACTAAACATTTAAAGAATGATGTGACAAATGGTGTTGTGCAAATGAGTCATCAAGGTTGAATGGATGTCAGCCAACTCAAAATAAGTCAGAATAACGCCAGAAATTTACATTACCAATCGTGTAGGCGGCCTATAAGTCTATGTTTTCAATAATGAACCTAAACAAATATATATACCTATATATATAGACAAACTTCGTCTATGGGAGGGAATCTATAATTACATAAACCTTATTGATGGACACATTTTTTTAATTCACATAAAAATGATTTTTTACCATAACATCATGCACACACATAAAAAATGAATATGACCAATGCATATTGTCAACATGTATAATTGAATTTTGTATAATTATATTTTGAATGCATTCTCATATGCAAATGGATTTAAAATGCAAAGTGATTAATGCAAATCACGTAGTGGAGAGAGAACACATACGAAACTTTTCATGTCATGAATAATATTTTCTTTGAAATAAAAGTAATTGATAAAATCATAAATAAATATAATATTTATCTATGTATTTCCTCAATTAACGACATTGTTAATATCATCATATACCTACTATGGGCCTAATCATTGAAAGATTTCAACCAACAGAAATGTTGACCTGCAAAAACCTTATCTATACTGAATAATCATCCCACTTCAGCCATATTCAATATTTATTCAAATTAATAGATAGAATGTACGAAACAAAACGATAATTCGAAGTTTGATTATTACATTTGTAGTTAACTCGTAGTATAAAGCTAGTTGACTGCATTGTTATTTTTAAACATGTTCTAGCACATGAAAAACCACTGAAGATTATAGAACAGTGAAAAATCAATGTCAAGATAAATTTAGTACATGTTGTTCAGAGAGAGTAGAAAAATCCCATCTAACTGATGGTACAGTAAAAGCCATTCGAGATGTTTGGAAGTATTAAATTATCAATGTTTAAGTCATCTTGTCTTTGTCTACCTAAAAAATTGAACTCAAAAAGTTAAAAAAAATAGCTGCGAAAATCAACGGATTGCTGTCCCTCATCAATGTTTTGATAGTTACTTCTTATGTTTTGCAAAATTAACGTCATTACAACGACATTAAGATATTTCAAACTAAAGATAATGATACTTATAAGTAATGCTTGTAGAAATCAGTTTCAGATTACCTTTAAAACTATTTTGTTTGATTGTTTTATGACTTATAATCTTTGACAGACCAATTTTATATATCTGTTTACAAATTAACTAGATTTAGTGATTATTAGTGACATGTTGGATACTTATTTAGCTTTTATTATGAACTCTTTAGCTAAAAGTACCTGAAGAACATTGATTCCAGCCATCGCCATTATATTAGACTATGTGTCACTGTTCACTAGTCGGTGGTTAATTGATATTATCAAATGAATAACAAATAATTGACAAAATACTATACAGGATAATAAAATCTTATCCAATTAGTAGACACAAGTTTATTAGAATATTCTGTTAAACATAATAGATATCTTAGTTAATGATAATTGTACATATAGTAAAACCATATATCAGCTTCCTTCTGAGTTCAGTTGAGAAATATATTCAGAGTATGGAAATAAAATAGCATAGTACTTGGCCTATATTCAATATTACTAGGAAGTAAGTTCAATGAATTTATATTAAGCAATAAACCTGTTACTTTTCCGCACATTAGAGCATGTCTTATATAACAAGAACAGTTCCTAATCCTTTCGTTGTGTATTGAAATAACATATTTTTAATATAATCCATTCCAATGATTCAGTTAGAATGAGTACACAGCACGGCTAACATTCATGTTGACTGCAGAAACATTTAGTCTATTAATTTTCAATTGAATTTGTCTATTCAAGTGATCATTTCTACATGCTACACTGTCAGAATTTAAGCTCATTTTTTTTGTAAATATATACCTAGACATCGGTTTATTGTTAAGTCTATTTTTTCAACTGTTTAAACCTTAATACTCCTCATTTAATTTAGTTCATTTTGGTAATGTATTCTTTAGTATAATTCAATAATTCATCTATAATCCATTTTGTCCATTAAAAGAAAGAGAAATAACTAGCATAATTAAAATCTATTTTAACAATTGCGTATGACGATTTTTTTATTTTTCAGTTGTTATGTCGAACGAAACATTTTATGGTATGTTAGTCTTCATGTTGATAATCACAAACGATCGTGTTTATTGCATCAATGGTGAGAACAAGTCTAATTTTGCAATTATCAAGAGGTGAAAGTATTACAAATAAAACAATGACACTTTTCCTTAACCATACCATGATTTTAACATTGAACATTGAACCCATGATGTCTATAGTGATGGAGTGTGATATTTATGAAATCAGAAAAAAAGCGATTATATGATAAAATTATATATAGAATTATGATTGTTGTATATTTATTCAACTGACAATCATAAAAGCATATTTGGTTTGAATAAATTATATTGATCAAAAATGGATACGATTAAAAAAATCAACACATTCGCGCCAATTTTCAATATTGAATAATAACCAGTATAAGCATAATTCAAACGATTGTCTGTTTTGTAATGATTTATCATGAAAAAACATATATCATTGAAAATATACAAATAATACAATTAAATATAACAAAGTGGTTTCTGTTCAGCATCGTTTTAGAGTTTCTCATTTCGCTGCCGATTGTCGTGGTCGAAATTGTAGTAGAAATAGTAGTAGAAGTAGTCGAAGGTGTAGACAATATTGATGATGTGACAAGCTTTATAGATTCATTAGATGAAGAAATTGGAACACCAGAAATAATTTTAGTTTCAGTGTTAGCTGCTTTCGATAAATCGAAGTTTACAGTGAGTCTTTGATTATTGCAAAGACTTTCAGTACAACAGAAAGGTCCTTGTACGATATCATTGATACACGATGTAACACATCCTCTGACAATTTTCGAATCCAAAAACTGTGTCTAAAATTTCCCGAGAAAAATTGATCTGAGTTATAATTTAAAATACACTCTGTCTACAGTTAGCCAAACTTTAAAAAAAACATAAAACAATTTTTATTTGAATGAAAACTTATTACCGACTAAGCCATTATTTGACGTTACTGAACACAAGATTTGTTATTTGTATGCGTATGTATATATGTATTTCTTTCGCAGGTTTTTTTCTCCATAATGCTTACAAACAATCTGAAGAATTTAGGCATATATCATACTTATAATTAGAGCAGTTTCATACACAGTTTACGTGTGAAGTTAGTCGAGTTTTCAAATATATGGGAGAATTATGGAGAAATGTTATATTTTATATTCATTGCCAGGAAAAATTATAGATTGATGGAAGTGAAAAGTAAACAATGGTTTACAAAATTTCAGTAAAGATTCAGAAAGTTTACCTAATATCGTGCACTCGTTTGAGGTGAAGACCGGTGTCAGGCAAGGTTGCTTACTCTCACCCTTTCTCTTTCTCCTGGTCATCGACTGTATTATGAATACGTCAACATCTGAAGGGAAGCACGGTATTCAGTGGACAGTTAGGACGCAGCTGGACGATCTGAACTTCGCAGATGACCTGGTTCTTTTATCGCACACTCAACAACAAATGCAAGAGAAGACGACCAGTGTAGCAGCAGTCTCTGCAGCAGCAGGTCTAAACATATATAAAGGAAAAAGCGAAATTCTCCGATGCAACACAACATGCACCAAACAAATCACTCTTGATGGAGATGCCTTGGAGGACATTAACACCTTTACATATCTGAGCAGCATCATCAACAACCAAGGTGGGTCCGATGCAGATGTGAGGGCGCGGATAGGCAAAGCAAGGTCTGCATTTCTACAGTTGAAAAATATCTGGAACTCCAAACAACTTTCAACCAAAACCAAAATCAGGATTTTCAACAGAAATGTGAAGACAGTTTTACTGTATGGAGCGGAAACATGGAGAACTACCAAAGCCATCATCCAGAAGATACAAGTATTTATTAACAGTTGTCTACGCAAAATACTTCGGATTCGTTGGCCAGACACCATCAGCAACAACGAACTGTGGGAGAGAACAAATCAGATTCCAGTGGAGGAGGAAATGAGGAAGAAGCGGTGGGAGTGGATAGGACACACACTACGAAAAGCACCTAACTGCGTCACAAGACAAGCACTCACATGGAACCCTCAAGGCAAAAGGAAAAGAGGAAGACCAAGCAACACATTACGCCGAGAAATAGAGAAAGATATGAGAAGAATGGACAAAAATTTGACAGAATTGGAAAGGGAAGCCCAGGACAGAGTTGGTTGGAGAAAACTGGTGGGCGGCCTACACTCCATTGGGGGTAGCAGGCGAAAGTAAGAAGGTAAGTAAGTAATAGCTTCATAAAGTTTGCTGCTTTCATATTCACATTGATGACTTCATTTTATTGCATTGATATAATATATCAAATTGAGGTAATACAGATATTATTTCAAGTTCTAAGCTGTTTATAAATGACCATATGTGTATTGTTATCAAATTTTCAATGAATATTTATGCTAAAATCAATGTGTTCGCACATTCTGAAAGTGTTCAGTAATAAATTGTATAGTAGTTTGGTTATTAAATTTTATTAAACAAATGTCTACTGTCGCTTAAAATGAAATACATAGAAAAAGAATCTTTTTGTCAATAAACAGAAACATTATGTCATTTTGCTAACAGTAAAAAATCAATTCAATTTCTTTTATTTACTTATATTAACTTATGATGCTGTAGAATTTTGAATGATAATAAAAATGTCTTTTCATATCCAATAAAGTACTTCCGTAAATTATGATTTTGATTGTTTTTAAAAAATAATATTTAAATAAATTTAAAATGTCAATAGATATAAGTAACTTTTTGTATTATTATCTGATATCTAGATGAATTTCTTAGCTATCTAGTAGCTTAAATTAGAGATAAGATAATTCAAAAAAGATAACATTTAATTATTCTCTCATCCTCCTAGAAACTGCTTGAAGTCAGAAAAGGTGAATTGACTTATTCCAAGTAAGTAGTAACATGAAAGTGTGTTAACCTTGAAAAGTGGTACACTTTTTAGTCGATAATATATCAGTGAGCGTCAAACTGAGACGAAATAAAAATCCGTTGTTTTAGGAACAACATTCTTGATGCTTGGACATTTTCATTATCATTGAAACGGTAAGTTGTTCGACTCCAATTGCAGATCATCTAATTAATTTCATTTAGTTTTACTGATCTAGTAAGGAAGCTTTGGATAACTAACATTTGTCCAAGATTTTACATTGATTAGCAATGGATGAATGAAATAATCATGGAATTACAAAACCTATATGTTAGTAGTTCGCCAATGAAATATCTTCATTAGTATGTTCGGAATATTTGTTGACAAGTACAATTACATTATGTAACATGCACATGAAATGTTTATAACTCACCAGAATAATAAAATAAGCAGTTGAAGTATTAGTTACAACTATCCATTTCCATATGAATAGCTTAATTCAAAATATTAAAAATTATTTTATCTTCTTATAAGATTTTGAACATCTATACTTTTAGATCGTCCTATACCAAGCAGTTAATGTCAGAATCTATAATCTTGCTGTATCACTAGAGCTGTAACGGCTTACAACGATCACAAAATATTTACCATTCATAACCCTTAGACTCTGTATTTCCACCTTTCCTAAACAATTATGTGTGCTCACACTAAAGTCAGAATGCAATGGTCCAGCGCATTAAAAACCTGAAAATAATTATTGAGTAAATTCTTTTAATAGTTATTGTTATCCTGATTAAACAGACTAGAGAAATAAGTGTTTTCATGGGTTTACCAATGTGTTAGCACTTATTGTAGCTCTAAGTAGAAACTAGGATTATTGGCACAAGAGGATCCATCATAATTAGCGGGAATCATAAACGGAATGAGCACACAGAAATGAAAGTCCTAAAAATTTTATGACGAAGAATAACGAAACTTGGTGGTTTGTAGAGATTGTTTGATTTTGAATTAAATGAGACAAAAACCTGAAAACAGATGAATTCATGTAAGCACTCAATGTCATTTTATGCAAATTTATGTGCACCTTAAAAACCAGTGACTGTATATCATCGATAAGACTACAGAAGTATGCAAGAAGAATATGTATCATTACTCACCGTACAACCTCCACAAGTATCTATTTTGGTTGTATTGGCATCCACTGTCATGCAATCAGTGCAATTATAACACATCAATGCTGTAATGAAGAAAAATGAACGGAAAATATAATCTTAGCCATGGATTTGTGCTGGATTCAATCATAATAACTCATACAGTGTAATTTAAAAACACTAGTTTAGTCGCAATTTCAAATATACTGTCAAACATTTTTCGGAGATGAATTTAAATCAATGCTAGTACGTTTCAAATGCAAGGTGATATAGTAGTAAATTTCTACCAATGTTAACTTTTCGATGAGATGACTAGGGATATTTAACTAGTTTATGAGGTCACTGTTTCGAAAAAAACCTTGATTAAATTTGATTCAAATCAAATTTAAACCAATAAAAAGCGATGCTTTTCAATTATTATTATTATATTTATCATTGATATTGCCAGTTATGTTTCCTACAGTTAATTATTTCTATCAGGTGCCACAATAAATTATTTGAATACAAGAATTCGGTAAACGTAAAATTAAGTTTTATATTACTTTAATGGTAGAAATAACGTATAAATACGATTACATCCTGTTGTCAGAGAGAGAGAGTAATGATAAGTTTTAAGACTGTAAAGATTTTTCAAAAAATAATAATAATAGAAAATACAAAACATTAATCAGTTGTATCGGGACAGAGAACGAATGCTTTGGGAATCGTTTTTTTTTATTAGAAAAGCTATTGAATGGTAACAGACTAGGAGTGATGACAGTAGATAAAATGAATGACGCAGCTAGCTACCTTGAAAGCTTCTAGAGAGCTACTATTCTGTAAAGACCAGCCAACAGACATCATGTTTTTGACAGTCAATCTATCAGGAGATTGTCATGTGATAGATATCCTGACCCGCCGTATATCTTGGATGACAAACACCAACTATGATTATCATGAAAAGGTCAACTAATTTTTTATATAAATTGATACCAGTCAGAGGGGAATATCCCTTGAATTCAAATTTTACTATTAACTTCACGGTGTTGGTTTGGACGTCACTTCAATGATTTTCGGTGACTGAAGCTAACCATTTACAAGTACTGCATCTAGGTTTTGTGCCAGTTGACAGTAAGCGTCAAAATGATTATCTCAAAGTCACTTAGTCAAGTAACAATGTAATAAATTCACCAACTAAACGTGATCTGAATGACAAGAGCTAGACAGATAATAGTTTCTATGCAATGATTGGTTAATGCCTTCTCAAAAAGTATACAACTTATTTCAAACTATTATGTCTATGCTGAACAAATATCGTCCAGCAGAATAACTCAAAACAAATACCACCATTTTTAACTCAAGTTAATCTGTTCAGAATCAGTATACTTCGAAGTTTATTATTCGTTTTGAACGCAGCGTTAAGAAATTATTGAATCCATCAATTAAATCATATGAATGATCACTCACCTTGATGCAAATGCGGGACACCTAATGAACCATAAAATCCTACAAATAAAAGAATTAATGTACTGTACATTTCGAGCATCCACTTATATAACTTTACTAGCATTTACTCTTGTTGATGGTGTAGAAAAATATAGATTTGCATATACCCATAAATATTTATACTATTTATTTGTGCATACCTATGGTGAAATGCTGCATATCTGCATGACACGAAATAATTCAAGACAAATGGGTTAAAAGTACAAAGTCAACCAACCAATCATTGCCCCTTAGGACAGAAATTCTCGTTAGGTTCTTAGCTAACGAAAGAAAATCAACATTTCTTAATCCCTTGTATAAAATTCATCCAATGGTCTAGACTGGAAAAAGGACAAATAAAAATCAATATTTTACTTGTCTATACTTGACTAGATCAGGCAAAGAAATTCTCATCCTATTAGTAATTTTATAACAGTCTACAATCAATAAGGTAGAAGTTTAGTCAATCGGTAGTATGCAAATGACAACTAATGAGACTGTTTTAGTAGTATATCACATATGCCCGAACATTTGAATAATTAGTCTACTTGAAAACAACGCAGTTTGTTCGAATAAATGATTAGCAGAGATGTGAGCTTTTTCAATCTTCGGCATTCTGAAAGTTTTGATTAAAATGATTGTTATTAAACATTTGTGTATGGACTATTTATGCTTGATACGAATTCTAGCTAAAATTATGATTTCTTTTTTAGCTGTCAAAAAGATTCTATTTATTTGAAAAAAAATCTACTAGGCAATTGTTTGCTAGACTATTCATTATGTAAATTAATTTGAAATATAATTTGAAAGAAAGGAAGTTGGAATTCAAATAATAGGAGATTTATATTTCACTAGTTTCAAACTGAAAAGCAGAAAAAATCTGATTAAATTATACATTCATTCATTTAATAAACTGTAGACTGGACATTTTTCGTAAGGCAAACTTTAACACGATTATTTAATCAGATTTTGTGAAAACAAAAAGTTATACATATCAGTATGAGGCTTATGTAGATTGCTCCGTTTCATTAAAATTGCGAATCATTCAACTTTAGGCGACCATTGAAAACCTGGAAACATTGGATGGTTGTTGCGCTCTAGTATGGGACTACACTTACTCAACCATCATCTTCGGTAGGCATTCGCCTCACACCCGATACGTTTGAGGTCCACTGATCATTGTTTCTCAATAGAACTTTGGGAATTCATTGTTAAGATATCTTAGAGTATTGGAATAAGAATACTTATAACGAAGATGAATTAAATCCCAACATATTTCACTAGTCTTTTCATGTGCAGATTATTGAAATTTCAAGTTAGTTTTGAAGGTGTTCAAAGTGGTTGCTGCATTTAAAGATATATTATACGTACAACTGCAGATAACAAAATTTGATATCTTAGTTATTGTTCTGATAATAAATATTTCTTAGAAAATCAGTCTATTTTTTATTCGTCTTCGTATTATTGAAACATAGATTAAATGATAAACGATAAGTCTTCGTAAATTGAAAACTTACTGTTTTTACAGATTCTTTAGACATCTTTCACCTTGAAATATTTCTCGCATCATTTGATCGAATTTATTGACTGAAATAAATTTTAATGGTGATAAAAAAACATAACATGTGTTTTGTTTTAAAAATAGAATTGAAATTTGTCTAAATTGTATTGTGTATGTGGTTTAACTGCAGTTAGATTAAATAATGTAAAATGAATTATCAAGTTTTTTCAAGTATTTTTAGTAGTTGTTATTTTTTTTAATTTCACATTTGGACAAATGTGATGTATAATTGAAAGAGGAATCATATTTATATTATTGAACATTGAATTATCTCTGATTATATATTGCCTTCAGAAGTAGTTACCAAAATTATCTATAATTTCTAGACTATCTTGGTTAAAGAGATACACATTAAAACTGTTAGGAACACACCATTTATAAATCTGATCTGTGTTTTCAATAAATACATTCCCGTGGTCCTTATATTTACTTTGGTCTTAAAAATATCAAGAATAAACCATTGTTTGCTCTTTTATTCACCTTTTTAATGTTTTCAAGTTAACAGTTAGCCTCCATTCATAATCTGTCTTCATCGTAACAGTGTACATTACCATTAAGGCTTTTATGTAATTTTATGATATCTTCACGTGATTTCGATCACCTTTTAAATGATACAAAAATGATCCATTTTGTCATGGATTAAGTTATACTTAATAATTATAGATAAAATTGTACAGCTTTAGTAAATGATATCGTTGGAAACAAATTTCGTTTCTCTGAATTGTCTTAATATCATCCTCAATGTTGGAAAGAAGCTTGTTCTGCTATTAAAGTAAGGTTAATTTGAGTGAATGTTATTTCAGAGATTAGCTTAAATTATACAAAATGTTTAAGCTGAATGATGACATATTCTAAGCGGTTGTAATGTTCTAGCAATAATGGTTGGTGAAGTCTCATTTGTTGACGTAAATTGTCGCATCTTTCTGCCGCATTCTTTCGAGGCACACAATTCCATTGTGTGAATTTGTTTTGTTTAGAAACATTACCCCGAGGATCTTGGACCTCGAGAATCGCATTAGGAGCAAGTGTACATTACACACATATAAGAAACGCATGTTTTCATCACACATAACTCGTAACGTACATAATGGCATATTACCCTGTAGGTTAGGTATCCGTACACACAGGTATAACTACTCCTTGAAAGGGAAGATCGTTGCCATCCTCATGAACGTATTCGCTACCACAGACTATCTCTCATGCGTGACATGTATACCCCTGGCTTTCACCTAGACACTTCATAATATACACATAGGCAAAAACACTCTATTTGACGCCCATCATTTTTTTATTCACAGATCTGTAATTTCTTGTTTTGATGAATTTTTTGAAGTTGCCTTTTTGTCTAACCTTCTTTTTGATGCGAGCCCACTGGTGTACCTTGGCATATAACTACGCGTATGAATGACATAGGAAGAGACCCATGCAGTTCATACACACAACAGACACATGAAGCAGTCACTTTGGTTTTTAGATTAGAGCCTCTCTTGAGAATCTCATATCGATTGTGGCATTTGTGTGAGTGATGAAACCGTTCTCCGACGGCCTCCTACATTAGCTAACAGGGTTACACCCATTACTCGTTGATCTAAACACCCACTGTATTTGTGTTCTTCGTTCAGCGGATAAAGATATGCTTCATTTGACGTGTTCATAGTCGACAGTTAGTATTTACTGCAGTAGCTTAGATGAAAATTGCACTTAAATATGCAGCAACCACTCATAAAATAAGTGAAGAATTGATAAAAAGTGCTAGATTTTGCGCATTCATCAAACACTGAAAACTTGGAGAATAAAAGCAACCATAAGAAAACGATCATTACTATAAGGAAATAATTAAATTAAAAATCAACACTGTAGAACGTTGGTTAATAAAACAGAAATTTTTCTACTCCTTTCTATGCGTACTTCGATGTGATCTGAATAATCATATGAGACAATTAATTTTACAGTCTATTCAGTTATTAGATATTATACAAAGAGTTATCTATTCTTATTTCAAGTTAGTTATTAATGTATGTAAAGAGAAGTATTTTTGCAGAGTAAGAATTTTTCTTAGGCTAGATATTGCCATCTGTTGCTCACTGAACTACTGAATATTATTTGGGAACTGTTGGGCAATAGTCAAAGTCGTCACTGACTAGTGTGTTTTTAGAATAAATCCTCAGTCTCATTAGTAATTTATTATTAATATTTTTCGAAAGACTAGCCAAAAGTAAAGGACTGTGATTGATTTTTATCTCATAATATTCCTAGTTTCTAATTGTTTAATTTATTAATTACTTATCATTTTGATTTTCATTGCATTCGTTTCTTTAGCACCTTCATTTAATATACATAGCATGAACTGCTTTATTATCTATATATTTTAATCTTTTCGACTTTATGGCTTATTATATTTGAGATTGAAATTTATCGAACAAGTTAAATCAGTTTAATTGCATTAGCGAAATTAGGTAAATCACGGGTTATATCATAAACGAACATCCGAACATCAATTGTTGAGGCTTATTGACATGAAAGAGGAAACGGCAATGCTCTTGTAATCATCTAAATCAGATCGTAAAGACGTGGTATTTCTCATTTTATGACTAATCTTAAAAAATACATTTAGATATATGTGTTATTTGTAATAGATTGATCACATTCTGAATGATATTAAAAATCACAGAGCACTTAAAATCCGTCTCTTCCACATCTCCTACTAATCATAGGTGAGAACTCGTAATCCAGGTTGGAACTGTGTATTAATCCAGTAGTTTTAACTGTTCCGCTAACTATTATCTGCTATAATGTGAAGGTTGAAATTAATATTGTCAAACATTTAATTCTCTCCTTGATTAGATTAGAATTAAATAGTTCAATAGACCACTGAACTTTCTGAAACGATACTATTTGTCGCTTTAATTTATTCACACTGGAAGCTGACGTAGTTTAACAAAATCCTTGCTAACCTTAAGTCTATATGAGTTTATTTTGAAATGATATCAAGGAAATTCAGGGCTTCATAACTCTTTTGTTCGTAGCAACTTTTTAGATGAAAATGCCAAATTCAGTAAAACCAGAAGTCAAGAATTAATGATATTAAAAAGTGTATTAGGTAGATGATGAATATGTCGAGATGCCTGTGATCTAAGCTAGCTAGTTGTTGCAAGAGATGCATAACACGGTGAAGCCAATGGTGATCTGGTGAGGAGGCATGACCGAAAGCCTCCAGCTAGGGTATATCCAGTAAAACCATGTTGCATCGGAGAATCTTGCTTTTCCTGATGTGTATGTTAAGACCAGATGCTACTGAGGCTACTGTTACACTTGTGGTCTTCTTTTGCATTTGTTGTTGCGTGAGCGATAGAAGAGACAGATCATCTAAGAAGTCAAGATCGTCCAGCTGCATCCTAGTTGTCCACGGTATACATGCTTCCCTCCAGATGTTGACGTTATCATAATCCAGTTGATCACCAGGAGAAATAGAAAGGGTGAAATTAAAGAACATAGTTACATGAAGTATTGCCTGAAAAACATATTGGCTTAAAATCTTCATCTGTAATAGCATATAATATGAAAACCATGATTTTATTTTCGTTTTAAATTGCAATAAATACTTCTTTATAGGAAAATTGTTCTCTTCCAATAATTACTTAAACTCATTGGATAGTTTTCTGACCACTTCAGCATGCATGTAAAAAATAGACTGAATTAACTTGTTC